CATAACGGGGGAGAAAAGACTCATCCTTTTTTGCATTCCTGGTATCCAGTATCGTACTTGACACAAAATAAGTCCTCAATATGTCTTCATTAACTGAAATAATAGGTGAATGAATGAATGAATGAATGATAGGCAGGCAATAACTCAATAATGTCCATTGAATAAAATGTATATATATCTTTTGGGTAGTATCAAACAACTGTACAATATCTAACATTAGGTAAATTAAATTCATTTTCCTAAGTATATCCTTTATGTTTCATACCTAAAAGAAAAAGAGGACTTTCTTCTGACCTTATTTACATCAGATATTTAACATAAGGCAATCTTTTAAGATGTGAGTGAATACCATTTACAATGTATATGAAATTGATTTATTATTATTTCAGTGTGGCTAAAACCCTTTCTACAAAATTTCATCTTTCTTTCGGTCTGCTGTGGCATATTAAACTCCATTCAATAAAGATTACTGAACATCAAATACATGCACTCTGAAGAATAAAAAAGAAATACTATCTGTTGTCAAAGATGTTAGAAGGTGATTCAGCTAAATCAATATGCCCAAAGCTTAAAGATACAGCTTGTGTGGTAAGGGAACTCAGAATTAAGAAAAGAACACCATGAGGAAGAGTTGGCCTAGGCAAGTTGAGTTGAATTGTATTTGCAGCGTGGGCATGGAGGGCATCATTTCCAAATGGATGGCACAGCAAGAACAAGAGCAAAGAGGAAAGAATGCATATCTTGTGGAGATGGGCCTGTTTGAGGTACAAGGGCCATGAAAAGGATGAATGGTTAGATGAGAAAAAGCACTGGATAGTAGGCCAAGTGTTCAGTCTTGTCAACTGGGCACTGACCAGCACAAAATTTGAGGAACTGGATATTGTTGAGGTCTTTTAGGAGGAAACTGCTTCCATAAGTAGTAAGTGACTCCCCTACACCTTGGGAAAGATTAGATCAGTCTTGAACTGGCATTAACTTTGCAGCAACACTTCTCCTTTGATGACACTTGCTTCATTTATTGAGTTCTTACTGGCTAAATGCTTTACATGAATGATCACACTTGATGCCTCTAACAATTCTGGGAAATAGATATTCTCATCCAAAAAAATGAGAAAACTGTGGTTTATGGAAGTCAAATAACTTGCTCATGGTCACCCAATTTGGGCTTAACCCCAGATCTGTGACTTTACGATCCATACTCTTAACTCCTTCTCCGCATTCATGATTAGCTCTACTTTAGTCCCACAGAGTGGTGGCTTCAAAGGAGAGTCATCATAGCACATGTGCTTTTTAATTTTTCTCAAAAGGCAGGTTGAGTTAAATAAAATTCAGTGTAAAGTGACTCTATTTGGGTTCACTTTCAGGACGCACTCCCAGTTTGGTTTAATTGGGTAAAGATCTTAGTGGCTTTTCTGAATCCTCCTCCACCTGCTAAGTGGTCAGTGAGGAGCTGCAGACAGACAGTACAATGAAAAGAGTGTGAACGGCAGTGTACTAATCACCACACTCTACATCCTCTTCTCACGTTCCCGACAGGTGATCACCCAACCTGCAACTGAACACTCTCTGGTTTGCTAGCTCACTCCACGCAGGGATGTTAATAGAATTTTTAGAAGGTTTTCATCAGTAAAGCCAAACTCTGTCTTTGTACAACTCCCTCCACCCCTGGATTCTAGATCTGGCAAAACACAATGTCTATCTATGATGTCTTCTATATGGAAACTCTTATAAACACTGCTATTTAGCTCTTTTTCCTGGCTAAATGACATGGTTTCTAAAGCACTTACCTTCTTGCTTGCCTACTATGTTTACTGTCAAATTTCTCAGGGACTTCAGTGTTTAATAGATATGCTCCGAGCAGCAGAGTGAAGGGATGACTATTTCTCCATTGGACCTTATATTTATACTAATGCAAACTGTGACAGCTTATGTGCCACCTTTCCAGCAAGCAGGGACCATGCTGTTCCTATGAATTTTGCGGATCACCAAAAGTTGGTGATACTTAGTGACACTGGGACTTTTAACAAACAAGTCTCACATTGAACACTCATAATTTATTTATTAAACCCAACTGCATAACTTGACATTTATCTATTTTTAAATGGTATTTTTGTGGCTTGGTTCACCCTTCTAGCCTAGAAAAATCTATTTGAATCCTAATTCTGTGCTTTAACCAATAAGCCATCTACAGAGAATAAGCCGATGACACAATCACACACACACACACACATCCTTTTAGCGGTAGGGCCCCAGGACACAAATTAGTAATGTCAGAAAACTTTGGAGCCACCCATCTGAATGCCTAGAAGACACAGCATAGTCTGAGATGGACTTGGAATTGTCTTTTCCTTCTGGAGAGATGTCTTAGAAGAACCAGGCTCTTGCAGGAAGCTCTCCCAGGGTAGGGCTGAAAAGGAAATGCCAAGACCTCCCAACAAAGACAATGCTTAGGAGGGAGCATTTGTGAAGGAAGCAACACTCCTCCCTTTGAAAGTAATTCCCAGGTGTGTATCTGATCCCAGCTCCAGACCTCCACCCTTGATTACTCAGACTTGGTATTAGCCGCACAAGACTAGCCCTAACGAGGTGGTTCCATCTGGGACCACTTCCCTGGCCTTACACAGTCATACCTCATTTCATTGCAATTTGCTTCATTGTGCTTCACAGATGTTGTGCTTCTACAAATTGAAGGCAAGACCCTCCATCAGCAAAAAGAGTATGACTCGCTTTATCGCGACACTTGCATTATTGTGGTGGTCTGGAAATGAGCCCACAATATCTCCACAGTATGCCTGTAACTGAATTTCCTCTGCCACGCCAGACAAGATATCCACTATCTCTGAATCCAGGTTGTTATTTAAAATGTCGAATGAGACGGAAAAGAGCTATGAAGGCATGCTACCAGACTTCCCATTGGATCCGTGCTGACCACATAGAACACACTATGATGTAGCAGAAAGAGTAATTTATTTTTGTTTTTCTGTGTACACAGCTCCTTAGCGAAAGCAGTCTGGTTTGCTGAGGATGGGGGCGTAAGGAAAAACTCATATGTTTATTTGAACTTGTTTGTAAACTGAAATTGGCCATGATTCTCAAATGGGAGGGAAATATATCAGAATCTAAGTGGGTTTGAGGGAAATCTTCTGAAAATTCCACACCTTCTCCAACCCTCTTATGGGTGAGCATCTGCCACTCTGAGTACCTTCACTGAGGTAAATGTAAGATCATTTTTCAGTTCTATTTGTTCAGAATAAAAGGAAGGGGAAACAATCCACTGGACTAGAGAGTTAAGCCATAAACCCCTTGCTCCATTACTGTAGTCTACCCTAAAGAATGGGCTTCTATGCCTATAGACATGATCATGCTGGATTCTTGTTATTATAATTGCCAAGCCTCGGGCATTCGTGTGCATTGAGGCATGGTCTGGGAATGTAAGCTAGGATTCCACACAACCCACCTCCCCAGAAACCAGCCTTGCTGGGGTCTCCATTCCATTTCTACAAGAGCGTGACACCTTCTGCTGGGGCCTCTCCCTACTGTGCTGTGCTCACGGAACTGAGGTCTGGACATGGGGCCACTCTTTTGGCCACATAACTTTTTGGGTGTAGCATCAGTTCTAGAGCTCATGTCACTGATAAATATGTTTCACAGAGAAAAAGCAAGCCAAAATGGAATTATGATAATTATTTGGTATAAAGTTGCATATTTTTAGGGAAAAAAATCAACATTGTTTCTATATTAATATAAATAATTCCTACATAAGTATTGAAACCATCTCAGATAATCTTTCATCTTCAGCAATTTATATTATATGTTCTTAGTTTAAAAAACATTAAATCCTCAATATAATTAGTTGTTGAAATCAAACTAAAGAGCTATGACCAAATGACTTTATACACAATTCTGATATATTATTGGGTTAATTTTTTTTAATATTTAAGATTTCAAACATACAGAAAAATATAAAAATAATATAACAGATGCTTATGTATATTTGCATCAAATTCCATTAATGTAATATAACCTGCACCATTAAGTCAGTAAATTTCTCACATTCATTTCCAGTATCAATTCTATTTTCATTACAATAATTAGAATGCTTTCAGGCTGGAGAGGGGAGATTGATGGCGAATATAGCTGTGATTTATTTGCACTTCAGGTTTTGGTATCACTTTCAGCCCGTGTCCACAGAAGGAGGGAAACACCGAGGCACGCCACTATTTAGAGAGTCTGAACAACACACACTAAATCTCAAAACATTCAGGCCAACCATTCATTAACACAACAGGTGTCCATACTCCCACGTGCCCTGTGATCTGGGTAACTACCTAAACTTTCGATTCATTGGGCCAATATTTTAGACAAAACAAAAATTATATAGCCCTAAACTCCCTGATACCAACTCTAAGAACAAAAAAATAAGCCTATATTGACTAATTTTACTGCTTTGAATAAAATAGGATGCAGATATGAAATCTGTAGAAAAGCATGTAGGACATCTGTAACACTGTCAGCAATAAAGATACCTTTTTAAAAAATAAAGTAAAAATGACTATGTTCAGTGCTGTTAGTGGGTCCCCATAATTTTCAGCATGAATGTCATTGTTTAAACAATTGCTGAAGATTTTCTTCGAAGTGCGTAAAACCAGGTTTCTTCTGTTTTAAATGAAGGAAACAACTCCTAGTGAGGAACAGTAAAATAATGCACCAAGCAAGCAAATCTCTTGAAATAAAGTGACCTTATCAATCCTCCTAGAATCCGTGGCAACACAGGGGGCAATTATGCAAAAGAGAAACTCTAGGAAAATCAGTTCATGCCACGAGGGCTTTGCATTCCGGTCCTTCCATATATTAAATGGAGTGTTACATATTAAATAGAGAAACAGTGCCTATGCCACAGCTGCTTCTTGTTAACCATTGCTGAGAAATAGTGAAAGAGCCCAGAATCACTATGTTAAACAAAAAATACTAACTAACAAAATAATAAAGCCAAATCTTACCAGAAAGGAGCAAGCTGATTCCATAGAGGACTAAGCCGGCTAAAAAGTCCATGCTTCCCCAGATCTCTCCATCCAGTGTCCGCAGATGTGCATGAGGTCCCCAGGATCCTTTCAAACACCCAGAGGTTTGTGACTTTCCATTCTCATGTTCTACCAGGTCTTGTTTACAAGTCAGAGGCAAGAAGGAACAGTACAGAAGCGGGCTGTAACAGTCTCATTTCTGTCTCTGAGCACAGGGAGTTTTAAGTTCCTTTTTCCTGTTTCCTTTGTAGATTAGGATGGGAAAGGCTGTATCTTAAAGGCATTTGGTATCAGCAGGGCTGGGGGCACTGCAAACCCTCTCCATCTTGCAATTCATCAAAAACACTTATCTACGGCTGTTGCTTCTGTGGCTTTTGCTGCTATTGCAGGGGTAGAGGGATTTTGGTTGGAAGTGTGGGTCCTGGTCAGCATTTTCAGAAACAATAGGGGTATCCTCTCATAGGCGGGAAACAGAATAACAAGTCCTCCACCTATGTGTGGTATGCAGTGGGGACCAGCCCTCGGCCTTCTCACAGCTCTCCCGGGTGCACGCGGGATCCCGGACAGAAGGGGCTTCTGGGTGTGGGGAGCAGCCTGTGCTTTTGTTTTCTCGTTTTTGCCCACGTGGTTTGCATTGGAAAAGAAGTTTTCGTGATGAGAGAACACAACCCGAAAAGGCAGTTAATCTGGCTAATTACCGGTGAGGTCAATGTCAGAGTGGCCAAAGAGACCAGAGTCCAAAAGTGTCAGCCTGTTTTCTTTCACACAGATGATTTATTCCTCGGGCAGGAGCCCAAAGATATCCATGCGACTAGCTATCGCTTTAACTTTTATTACTAATTCATCTGAAGGTGATCTAATTTCTTCAAGAACTTGGCATAGAAGAATTTTAGTAATGAGAGGAATTTTGTGGTTATTGGCCAATGGCGTGTCAGAAGAAAAGTTACATGCAAAATTTTAAGAATAATCTGTGTAAAAACCAAACACAAGTGATCAGATTGGGATATAAATATTATTCATAAGAGCAGAGAGTGTACATAGGCCAAAGGGAAAATAGCCATTGGAGTAACCATCCCTAAAATGAGATCAGAGACCCATGATTTATCCAGATAACAATTTCTCCATAACACGCATTGTGACTCTAGAGAGCTGATAGCCGAGTTCTTCACCCTGCCCTCATGCACGCAGAAAGAGTCGTCGGCTCTGTCTTTTCCTACTCACCGCAGGGAAGGCGGACACTGCCAGTCTTGTCTAATTTCTGTCCCAGGTTTTATCACAGCAGCAATGACCTGGGGAACCAACTGGCGTTCCCGTCTGCTGGGCAGAAGGCTCGGGCTTTGTTTGCAGCTGAGCTGGGTTCAAACACTGGCCTGGCCACCCGTGTGGCCTGAGACGAGCTACTTAATCTCTTTGAGTCCCAGCAGGTGTAAAATGGCAATACTATCTTATTCGTGGGGTTTTTGAGAGGGTTAAATAAGAATTAGAAGTCCATCAAAACATCTGGCACTGTGCCTAATTCACAGAATTCGTTTTCTTTAGTCTTTCCAGTCTGTTTCTGATTTCAGTCCCCGGAGCTTCTGCCAGAAAGCCATTCTCTCATCTCATAAAACGGCTTTGAGTTTGGCGGAGTAAACAACCAGTCTAGGAGTCGGCGATTCTGGGTTCTAGTCCCAGCTCTGCCATGACCTTCCTGCTTGTGAGGCCTTTGGACAAGTCATTTCCCATCTCTAGGCCTCAGTTGTTCAACTGTAAAGTGAAGGATTTAGACGGGATGTGACTAACTTCCCTTCTGATTGTAATAACTCACAAGCTGAACGGACTGAATGGTCCCGATCTCAGCATCCCCCACTGAGCTGACTCCTAGGTCCTTCTACCTGAGCACTTCAGAGAAGGTGCTCGCTTTGCATCTCTGTCGCTGTGAAAGCCTGGGAGGGTCACAAACGTGCTTTATTTTAAAATGTGGTGGCTGAGACTGAGTGAGGTCGGCTGGCCCCTGGCCATAGGGAGCAGTAATGAAAGGCCTTGGAAATGATCCAGGGTACCTGCCTCCCCAGGCCCAGCTTCCCTGTTCGGGCTCGCTGTCCACACAAGGCGGCCATCACCGTCCACTCCCTCTCGTTGGCTAGTCCTGGGAGCTCAAGATGCTACTACCCTGCTTCCTTTTCTGGGCTGCCTCCCTGTTACCCAGAAAAGCAGCTCAGGCTCATCCTTCCCCAGCATCCAGAAAGATCTACCTGACTCGAAACTGTCAGTCAGGTTCTGTCTCCCTCCCTTACCCGGAGTGAGTGACTCCGTTTCATTCTTCTCTCTGTAATTCAGAAATGTTGCGCAGCTTATGTCTCCATTGTTCAAAGAGCTATGTAGCTCAAGCTCACCTTCCATTCAGTCCTTTCCATTGTTATCTCGAATAGTGATTCATTTCATAAATACGGCTGGATTTCCTGAGCTTATGATTGTACAGCTAGTCAAAAGGCTGAGCAACTTTTCTCTGGGACATCTACATCTTTAGCATGTAATTTCCAGAGTACAGTGCAGTTAACTTGTGGACAAAAGTGACCAGACCTGCTCTGCTCCAGCTTTCTGCCCTGTGGATGTTAGAACGTGGAGAACCAGTCAAGGAACAATGATATGAGCTTCATGCACGGCGGGGCCAGCAGGGCAGCAGAGCTGACTGGCAACAGACTGGGAAGTTGCAAAACTGGATGGCATGCTAGCACTTCCAAGGGAGGGGAAAGGCTACATCCACATTGGTTAGGACTTTTCCCCAACTCACAACATATCAAGAAAATACCACATACTTGGACATGACCATAACCCTTCTCTAGAAAGCCAGCTGTGACCGTGATCAGGGCGTCTGCGGTCCCTAAAGAGCCTTGCTGGGGTCCAGCTGGATGGGCTCTTTGCCCTCTGCTGCTCTAGCCGCCTCGAAAGGTGGAAAGGGTCTTCCCTTCTTTGCCTGATTAACTCCCAGTTATTTCCAGTTCTCAGTCTAAGAAACGTCTTCCCTGATGCAAGTGAGCTCTCCCCTGTTATTCTCCCACAGCACCCCGTTCTTTTATTTCACTGTACTAATCACAACTGGTAACCACATATCGGTAACTTCATCATTTTATGACTCTTTCCCCCCACTTGACCGCAGTCTTCAAGAGGCAGGGGCCATATCTAATTCATTCACCGCTGAATTCCTAGACCTGAGCACAGTGTCTGGAACATAGGTCTTAAATAAATACTTAATAAATTAATAAATAAAAATACTCCCATTGTTAGTCATATACTCATATCTGGAATAGGCTCTGGAGTCAGGCAAACACAGATCACATGTTGTAGCTGTACCGTACTCCCTGTATGACCTGGGCAATTTAACTCACATTATGAACCTCAACTTCTTCATCTTTAAAATGCAGAAAAAGAATACCTAATTAGTGACATAATATGTGCACAGTATCTGGCACACGTAAACATTGAATAAAGGCTCTCCGGTGTTCCTCCTCACACACAACCACCACCACCACTCCTGAACTGTTACATGGAGCCCGTCACAGTGAGGCAACGCAATCCCACACAGGCTGAAGGACTTGCCCAGACGTGCATAGCAGTATTAGACCCTGGTCTTTTTGCCTCCAATTTTTACAAGTTTAATATATGGTGCTTTTTTTTTTTTCATAGTTCACCTTTGCACCACACTGTGCAGAAAAGTAAATAAAGAGAAATATAGAAAACATCATAAACACCAACAGGGTATACCCAGACCTTAGGAAAGTATTTGAAACGAAACTTTGACAGATAATGGAAAAGTGTGAAGACACTGAGAAATGCCATCTGTTCTCATTGTGCTTTCAAGAGAGTGATCACTTCTATCAGGATCTGTGGTCTCTCCACGGCCTTGCTCCAGGGAAGTCAAGGGCTTCCTCATGAGTCAGGCTACTCAGTGCCGTTTGGTGTACCCAGACACACCGAGGCCAGAACAAAGAAAGAAAACCGAACCAACAAACAAGCAAACAAAACAAATGAGGCATTTGCCTGCTACTGCATTTTTTCCCCTCTGCTTTTTGCAGTTATGTATGAAAACGATCTATAGAAAACATTTGAGACAGGTTGATAAAATTATCAGTGGATAAGAAACAACGTTTGTGAAGAGATGTGGAAAATAACTTGCACAATGTTGTTATAATTGGTACTGCATGCCTGGAGGTCAGTATCGCAAACATGTAGCATCACTTTCAGACGTGTATCCTTTAGCCCAGAAAGTCCACTCTTATGTTTTACCCCAATCCAAAATCAAAGATGTGTCCCCAAATTTATAGAAGCATTGTTGATAATAATCAAAACCTGAAAACAATCTAAATAGCCAACAAAATGAATTATTTATATAAATCATGGTACACAATGAACTACCGGACAAATGTCAAATGTTATGGTGGAAGCACGTTGACATGGAAGATATAAAAGTGTTTACTGTATATTGTCAATGGGAAAAAATCAGTCTGAATAGTGTGAAATTTATACACACACACACACACACACACGACCAATATATGCCAAAATGTTAAAAGTCATTATTTCTGGACTGATGGCAAACTAAATTTTATTTTCTTCTTTATAATTTTTTAAAAATTTCAACATTTAAAAAAAATTATGAGCATATATGCACCAGTTAAGAAGACTGGGGGGAAATTCTTGAGACAGTTGACCCAGGGCTGTAGGCTGTGCCTTAAAACACGACAGGCCCGTGAGAAAGAGAAGCCAAGAGAACCTCGGCCTCCAGGAGGGGAGGCGAGCAGAGGGAGACGTCAGCTCCCCACGGCGCAGCCTGGGCATTCTGCCCTTTGCAGGGCTGTGGGCACTGCACCCCCAGAGCCATCACATCTGGCTTCTCAAGGACTTCCCCGAGCCTTCTTGTGAACCTGCTGTACTTCCCAGTGGGTAGCAGAAAAGGCAGGGTCATCAACAATTAAGTCTTGGCCTTCAGCCAGGACATCACAGTTCAGATGGCAACACCCGCTCTGGTCTGGAGTGGAGCTATGGAAAATACCTGACCCCACTGAACCCCACCATTTTTTTTAGCACCTAAATGGCAAGCACTGCGCTGGTAGCTGTAGGAAGAGATGCAGACACAGATGAGGTCTCTGCTTTCGAAGCTCACAGTAACACAATCCCAGCATGGCAACAGTGCGCGCAAACAGGAAAGGTGCAACCCCAAAGGGCGGTACCGGAGTACAAGTGCTAGTCGTCTTTGCTTCGGTGTCCTTTAGGCCACGAGGCACCACTGCTCATGCTTTGTCCTTCTCAGCACACGCGGCGTCTTTCCAGACAGACTGTGAGCCCCGTAAGGCACGTAGCCACTCGATTTCAGATGGTCCTGTGCTATTCTCTCAATGGCTTACGGAAAGAGTAACTAGGTTGCCCCAAAT